GATATCCGTTGACTAGAGGTTTTCGATTATTGGTTTTTACGCAGTGTAGCCTACGTGGGAGGGAGCGACCGGGTTAGTAACGTGGAGGTAAGCTACCGTGTGTTTGAGAGTCTATCAGGGATAAACCTGCTAGCACATTGAATTCAGATTGATAGACTTCGCTGACTGGGGCACGTAGTGCGTATGCCCAGCCATCGTCTGCCGCACTGCGCTTTATTCGCTGTATGTAATCCGTCCTAACAGAAATCACGTGGAGGTCAACAGATGACGTGGAGAAGAGGCCTGAAGAAAGGCACAGAGCCACTAGAGAGAGTAGGTATCTTTTACCTTCCTGGTTGGGGTCCAAAAGACTCCACAACCGGTTGGTTGGAGACATTGAAGGATACGGAAGCGAACCGACAGCAGTGGCATTCTTGTTGTCATTTCTTATCAGACCAGAACGCTTGAAACGGTATGTAAGAAGAATTCGATTGTTTACCGATTGTGACCTTCTTTCCCCTCCCCCAGATTGATCCGGTCCCCTTCCACCTTAAATAATACCACTAATCTTATATGCATTGCGAATTTGGCAGCGATCAGTGAAGTTCGCTTCACTGTATTTCGCTGTAAGATGATAATGCTGACGATTGTTGGTGTTGGTGATTTCTCCGAGCAGGAAGTGTTGTTTGCAGACGTTTCATAGCCAAGCTAGGCAACATCACCAGTGCAACTTCGAGGAAGTGCCAATCCCCAGTGGGACATGGTTTATATAGTTCTGTTTGAGGGTTATGATTGGCTGTTTGCGTCCCTTTAATCCTATTGGTCAATAGTAAATGTTTGCTGTGATTTGATTGGCTGTTCCGTTGTCATGGTAACCATCCTTTTTCTCACTGGCCGACTGGTTTTGTTAGAGCAACCGCAAAACCGGTTTTGAACCGGTTCCAAACTGATTATAACTGGTTTCGGACCGGTTCTAGCGGGGGCACCCTCGGGTTACCAGTGTTTCCTTAGATGATGATAGATAGGCTCTAATTCTATGTGCTTATTAATACTATCCGTTCTGGAGTACCATGCTTCGATGAATTCCCTTATTACCTTGGTTGGTCCTCTTCCGATTATTCTTGCCTTGTCCAGTTCGAAGACATGGTTCTCAGCATCCATGTGGATTGAGATTTGTGATTTCTCCTCGTGTCGTTTGACCGCCGGTATGTGTTCATGCAGTCGTGTCTTGAGCTTTCGGCTGGTTTGTCTCACATCGTACTTGTCGCAGTCTCGGCACTTTAATTTGTTTACGACTTTTGAGGAATCGTCCTTTGGTAGTTGATTCTTTGGCCTTGACAGGATAGCCCTCATTGTCGCTGTTGTTTTTTGTGTAACCGAAATTCCTGATGGTTGTAACAATCTGGCTGCCATTTCCGAGAATCCTTGTATATATGGCAGCGTTATTCGTTTAATTGTCGGTCGTTCTTCTGACTGTGCATTTGAGGCTTCTCCCGGGGCCTCAATTTGTGTCCTTTCCTTGAGAGTCATATGGAAGCAGCGTAGCACGAAATTCCGTGGGTATCCGTTACGTTGAAACACCTCAAACAGGTGGGCTTTCTCTGCCTTTTGAAGTTGGAGATTGTTGCAGTGCGTTTTTGCTCGTTTGAGAAGCGTTTGTATACAGCTACTCTTGTGTGCCACGGGGTGGTAGCTTTGAAAGCTGAGGATCTGATCTGTGTGGGTTGGCTTTCGGTAGACGTCGGTTTCCATTTGCCCATCCTCGTTTCTTTTGACCAATACGTCCAGAAATGATAGTTGTCCGTTTTGTTCTTCCTCCAAGGTGAGTTTGATTCCAGTGAACTCGTTGTTGGTTAAGCGGTGCATCTCCTCCAGTTGGCTAGATTTCAGGATGACAAAGGTATCATCAACTAGCCTGACCAACAATTTCGGATTGATGATGGAAATTACAATGGTCTCCAATCTCTGCATAACCGCTTCTGCAATGAGTCCTGAAATTGGTCTTGGTGTCTTCCAGTAGTTGCTTTGCCTTGATTACGTAATCCGTCTTGTTCATTACAACCGTTAATCTTCCTTCGTCTGCCGGGAGAATGATTATGTTCTTGTCTCGTTTTAAGTTGTCCATAGCTCGTAGTTCCTTCTGATTGAAGAGATTTTTCTCTTTTCTCCTGTTCAATGCAACGGTTGTCCTTTGTCTTATGTCTTCTTTGGTATCCAGCCGCGTGTTATCAGACACCGAACAGTCAGTACTAGTTCGAGGATTGAACCTTAACCATGATGATGCCTATCGCTTAGATTTCATAGCAGCACTGGAGTCCGCCAGGAAGACCGAAAACATATGTTCTCCTAGGATTTGTGTTCTGATTATGACTGCTTATTTTGTGATATATAAATATTTATATATATAAAACCGGCTTGTGAACAAGCATGGTACCAACACCACCTCTCTCTAACCTAAGCTGGCAACTTTAATTTTAATCAGTCCATCTCTTTATGTCAACCTTTCATTTGCCTTTTTCCTTCCATACCCTCAGCGAATCTAGCATTGATTACCGCTAACCTTGTCATATTCGCTTGCTCCGTTTGTTCGTCTCTCTCTCTCTCATTGTTATAAACTGAGCTGTAAGCAGCTCATCGGATATTAGTAATATGATCGACTTATATATGTAACTGCCTGATGCGATATTTCGAAGAGAAATTTCTTCACAAACACCGCTTTATACATATTAATTAATGTTCCCGATTAGGATATCAAAACACATTTTCAGAAGTCATGATCTACCGCGTGCGCCAATCTGTGTTGCTCAAATCAATTGAATGGGGTTAAAGTATACTTCCAATTCCATTTTGCCTGTTCGCCGAGCTTGGCGATTAGTTTGCAAAAGTTTCATCACCAACCGAGTTGACAGAACCACCTCGGCTGGTGATGAAACGTTTGCAAACAAATTGCCAAGTTCGACGAACAGGTGAAATGGAATCCAGTTCAACGGAGCTACGAGAACCGATTTTCAATATTTGGTCAACATACTTCAAATTACCTGTATGAATAGAGTGAAATACGGGTATAACGCGTATATATATATATGTATATCTTATGTTTGTGCTGTGTCTATTGCATATCTTATGAAATTAACTTAACAGATCTACGATCGGCCTGAATGGTTATCCGAGACACAGATAGAAGCGTTAAGAAAACAAGACCCAGCGAAATATCAAAACATAATTCATTGTTTCAAAGAACCCAGGTAAGCAATTATATATAGGAACTGTTTTACAGTAATCAACATCTAGCCTTGGTTAGTCGGTTAGTGTCTACAATTCTGTCTTTCGAATAAAATGTTAGAAAATGTATAGATTACTTTGTTGTCTACCTGATTTTTTCTGCATATTTCCGAAAGAGATGAATACTGAACCCACTTATTTAACAGTTTAAGCAGCAGTTTTCACAGTGTACAGTTTTAAAGCTACATTGGTTCAGAGGGTTATCTTATAACAAATGTAATGACAGATACTATGGAGATTCTATGGCCCAAAGAAATTCATTTCGGATTTACCAGTCAGCCGTCGATCTGACAGCCTTTTCGGTTGGACATAGAAGCAGCATGTGAGTTGTACAGCAAATTCAAATACTTTATTCATTAGGTGTTGTGCATGGTTAGCCTGCTGAACTTAGCTCTGCGTAGCAAACCACTGGGGTGTGTTCGCGTAATTTCGGTCACCGATTGTCTCTCCATTGAAGATTCAATCTAAACTCTTATTTTCGTGAGGTTTTAGATCAGGGATAAAAATCTCACACAAGTGTTAACTTCCCTTAACTCATCAAATTGTTTGCAACCTTGGGTCGGTGATTATTGCTTCCCCAATCAGTCAGAGCAGTAGCACACTTAAGCAGTTATTGAAGCAATAAAGGGATATTATCTGCCATATTCGAAATGGAGGGCTTTTTATTGTGAATAGTTGCAATCGGTACGCTAAATTGCTAAGTGCTCTATTGGACTAAATGAAACGGGAACGATTCACTTACGCATTGTGAAGCATATTCGAAATGATCTATTGAACATTATCTTCGGTATCGGGTACAAGTACCCTGCTTATTCTCCAATTTCCCGGATGAATAGCTGAGCGATGAAACGAAACTGACCGTACAGGGAAACCGTTCCTTAACTGAACGTCTGAGATTCTTGGTCTTTCAATACATAATATTCGGTTCAGCAGCACAGTACTTTCTGATAATCACTGATTTGGACCGATGTATTTTGATTTATCCGTAAGCTGTGAAAATTTCACTTTATTTTCTAGTGTGTTACTGCTATCAAACCTTCTAGAAAGGACGCATCTTGCTGACGTAAAGCACCAAGAGATGTGCATTGAAATTGTTCTGGACGTAAATGGTATCATTTTATTCATTATTCTTTGATTAGCTTTTCATAAAGTCTTAACTGGCATTAGTTCTTATCATATGTGAAAAGTAATACAATGCATACTTTGAAAAGTTGAGTAAAATTCTTTTTTTTTGCTGAGCGAGCTGGATCAGTTCAGTTCAGCTCAGTTCTTACAACCGTTAACCATGCCGGTTTTGGTTGCTGTCTTTTGGTTGCTCATTTGGATAAAATAGCAGAATGATGATTAGAATGTTGAGAGCAGATTTAAGCGGACGGCAGCTGGATCATTTCATTGTGAACGTTTCATCACCTACCGAGGAAGTAAGGTCGTAAAATAAGCAGTGGGAAATTTGTCTCGGCTGGTGGTGAAATGTTTACGAACTAGTTGATCAAGCTGGAAACAGGTAATCAATAGGAGCTATGATATCCGTATTTCATTACTGTTAGATTACACACTAAGATTTTCTGGGAATGTCAGGTCGTCAAGATATGAAAATTAGTATTCGGAGTAAAGAGGCACTCCAAAGACTGAATAATAACAAGTTCGTGGAGTTACCATTGTCTTTCTGTTTCATTTATAAGTCTATCATCCTTTGGTCTAGCTCACCCTAATCATTCTTCCTGAAATAAACTTACAGTATGGAAAAAGGTACTTATCTTGGATTGCAACGCGAACCACCTACACCGGCGGAACGAGTCGGACGTCGATCCAGGGGACCAGTTAAACCTAGTGGCTTCACCGTGAATGAGCCTGGTCATGTGGAGAAAGACGACAAACCTTCTGATCGATTTGTCACGCACTACATGACACGCGTGAGTCAAATTCTGTCACTTGACCAGTCTTTTTGTTCATTTGGAACTATCTTTTTATACGTGGATTTTTCAAAATTTTGCTGAATGTAGTATTCAATCGTTTTGGTTTCCCATCACTTCAGATCTCCAATAAGCACAAAGAAAAAAGAGAATGAGAATGTAGAAGGATTTTACTAATCTCACAAACAGCAGACCGGATTTGAAAAAGTAATCGAACACCTTTAAGCGCTTCGTGAAATTTCATTAGATCAAAGGCACTGAATGATCATTAGCAAGTACAAGTTCTGGGTTCATAAACAAGGAAGATAGCAGGTAAAGTAGATCACACAAAAAAAACATTTGATGAATGCATAATACATCTGAATATAATTGCTCGAGACTTCCTGTTCTCCTAAACATTTGCACACTTGTTAGCCGTGGCTTTATTTGATCGCTGCATATAAAACAACTACAAAATACCTACATACACACTTCAGTTACTTTTGAGATTAAACCATGTTCACTGATTTGCTGTTCGTAATAAGGGGGCTGCAACCGATTGAGATAACTTTGGCTGCAGAGCTGTAAGTTCATGACTGAAGTGCAGTGAGCTTTCAGCAGGCTTAGATTCCTGATCTGCTTCAGAGCAGCTGTACTTGCCTTATCCATAATTATGGTCAGTAATAATTTGTAGTGCAGCTATTGTCGAGATGCGATAACGGGTTACTATTTCACCCTTGAGAGATAAAAATGAGGAGAAAAGTTTTCCTGATGTGATTCATTGTGCTGATTTATTATTTTTATGGATGATCTATCGAAGATAACAAGGAATTTGTGGACGATGGTTGTTATGTTGCTATGGAAGCACATGAGGCGTAAACTTAGAATTAATAAACTGTCCAGTGCGGGGATACCGTAATTAGCACATCTGGAGATCCACTTATTAACTCAATGTTCAGTTGGAGTTTCGATGACGATAAACTATATAATCTGGTCGCATGACATTCAAAAGAGGAATGGTGTCGTCAAAGAAAAATTAGCTAATAATAGCTACAGTCAATCTTCTGCTGTATCGCACCCCTGATAATTCGCATTTTCCAATATCTTTCCACTTTTTCGAAAACGCAAATCAACCGCATGCTTAATAACGTAGTCCCTGTGTCCCTGTGTGATGTCGCATCGCTCAATATGTCGCAGTTCCTGATACGTACTCACTTGGTAGTTAACCGATGTTTGGGACGACCATTGACCATCCACCCTGAAATGTCACACTCAACCAGTGGCGTTGCACCTAGTGTGACACGTTCGTGGCACTGTTCACTGACTGGATAATCTTTGCGAGGAAGTTACACCGATGTAAGTGATCGGAGACTGTCATTTGATATCAAAATGTGCAAGCGCCTATCGATCAGAGAGAAGCAGAATGTGTTGGAAATAATGAAACAGCCAGGTGCAACTCATACCTTCGTAGTCCAATCACTTGGAATTTCACGAAAAACTGTCTACAATGTTGTATCCTATAGAACGAATATAGGGGAATTTTTGAACACTGGAGCTTCTGAGGGAAGATGCCACCTGAAGACCAACGACAACTTCAAGGCAACTTTGGCTCGGCTTACTGCCATGAGGGAAAGGCATGGAAAGTTCCCAGTGGTGAAGAGCATCGTAAGTAAGAAGGCAATCCAGCTAGCAAAAAGCTTGTATCATAATGACTTCAAGGTTTCCAAAGGTTGGTTTAACTCTTGGTGAGACAGATATGGTATTGAATGGTACAAAGTACGAAACAAGCAACTCATGTGCATTAATTTATGGGTCTGTGGGAAAAGTTTAGCGGTACTACGTGATGCAGTGGACGAGTTTCGAGTGGGATTACCGCAGTTGATACATAGATATGCTGACTGTGATATTTTCACTGTAGATGAAACAGCTTTATATTACAGGCAGCTCCCAGAAAGAACATTAAGTCTGAAAGGAAAGATGGTTTCTGGGTTCAGAAATCCAAGGAGAGGGTCACGTTACTGCTTTGTGGGAGCATGACTGGAGGAAAGTTAACACCGTTGATGATTGGAAAATTTCAAACTCCAAGATGCCTCCGAGGTATATATGGAAAAGGCCTTCCATGCAGTTATAATTCTTCAAAGAACGCATAGATAACTTCTATTTCATTTCACAGTTGGCTGTCCGATGTCAACCGCAAATTGGTTTCTCAAAGGCGCTCTATTTTACTATTTATGGACAACGCACCTTGTCATAAACAAGCTGCAGTTTTCTCCAACGTCAATTTGGTACGGCTGCCTCCGAACTGTTCTTCAATGTTACGACCGATGGATCAGGGCGTGTTTTGGTCTTTCAACCGTTCGTTTTGGAAACATTTGCTGGAGTATGTGTGGTACACAATTTGCACTAGAA